CTCTTGCTGATCAAGGTAAGTATACTAATGCTCATCCAATGCTTAATGATCCCAAGATGTTTGTTAAAAATGAAGCTCAATTGCAATCTGATGCAATTGAGTAACATTTAAGTGCGCTAATCCCTTCTATGCAGATTGTTGAAAAAGAAAAAAAGGAACTGGCAGGTTCGTCTAGACAAAATCCTATCCCTGTTGATCTTAACAATTCCATCAATCATAGGGTTTTGAATGCTGAAAAGTAACTAAAGATGTATCTACCACCTCCCAAAAACCTACTGCTCCTATTCCCCATAATCTCACTAAACTCACTTCCAACTTCGATAAACATATTCCCAACAACCCTCAAAAGAAACAGCAATCTCAAATGGAAAATAATACCAAAGTTTTTAGACACCATGATCACTGTACAAACACCAAAAATGGGCTGACCTTTGAACCATGTTCTTTCGGTGTGATCCAAACTTATGCAACAAGACTACGAGCTAACCAAGCTAAGAATGAAATCCCTATTGAGATATCAACTCCTACATTCACTACAAGACAAGGCCTGCCAGCAGTGATTTTGAAAGAGAGGATTTTTTGGTGAAATTAGCTTCAAGATGCAAATACACTATGGTTGGGAAGTTCACAAACACTATGCCAAAAATTGAACTTATCAAGAAGAGTTTTATCCTTCATACTCAGCTTACTTGTGGTGTCAAAATAGCTCACTTTAATGTGAGGCATATTTATATTGACTTGGACAACGAAGAAGATCATATTTCTGTGTGGAACATACAAAAGATGTACATTGAGGGTCAGTTAATGAGACTCCAAGTAGACCCCCATTGTGCCTGTATGGGTTACTCTACCAGAGCTACCTTGGCATTGCTATAACAAAGAGTTTTTGACTGCCCTCCTATCTCCTATTGGTAAAACTTTATATTTGGATGCTGCATCTCCCCAAAAAAAAATAGAGGCAGTGTGGCAAAAATTAGGATGCAAATAGACATTACGAAAGGAAGACCTCCTCATGTTTGGATGGGGTTTGATGAAGAAGACTTTACTGTGGGAAGATGGCAAGCAATCCAATATGAGGGACTACCAGAGTTTCTTATTGCAAACACCAAGGACACATATCACAAGTTTGTAACATAAAGAGAAGAGATGAGGAATACAAGAAGAGAAAAGAAGCTGAAGCTGCAAATAAAATCAAGGGCAAGAAAACTGCAAATGCCAGCAATTAGGTAATTCCCCAAACTTCTCCTCCACAGGTTAATGCTAATATGACTGCTAGTGTTTAAGGTGTTGAGGATACCCAAAAAAAATTGCAACAAACACAACCTGAGATGGACAAACAACAAATGGATGAGTGGCAAACTCAAAAAAGGAAAAATAACAAGGATCAGCAAGCCATGGTCATCAAAAAAAAATAGTCTACAAACCAGTGGACACCCTAAATTTGCAGGAAAATAATATCAAAAAGCAGCAGGTGGAAAATAATATCAAAAAGCAACAGGGTGGAAAAGTCAGGTATTAACTTAACTCTCCCACAACCCCATTCCCCTGATAAAGTTGGTCAAACAGGTCCATGTGATGGTAATCAAAATCCTCAAAATAAACAGAGCAAAGATGGCAAAATAACCCAAGGTATTGACTCAATGCTCCCCAAACCCCATGAATCCCCTAATAAGAGTTTTCTGTTGTTGGCTGTTTCTGAAGTTATGGGAGGTGAGGTGGATGGATCAAGGAGAAACCTATTAAATTGCAAGTAGTTGGAGAACACAAAGCTTCTAACTCTGTGGATGTAAAGGTTGCTTTCCTGAACAGTCACCACTATCCTGAAAAAATAACACCAACCTAGACCAACTAAACAACAAACTCAATTACCCAAAAGAGAACATAGAAGGCACTAGCAGGAGATAGGTGAACATAGATGTTTGAAATAATGCTTACCCTACATGCAAGTTGACTTGCACGAAGACCTTCCAGAGATCTAGTACTCAGGATGGACTCAAGTATTTCAAACAAGGCACTGCGCTAGGAGATTAAGGAAGATATAAATTGTTCCAGGACTGTGCATAAGTTTATGATAGAGTGTAGGCACCAGTAATTTCGGATTCACTGATTTCCTCTTCTTCTTTTTCAGTCACCGTGATGTTGTCCAAGCTCTCAACTTTCTGTTGATGGCTTTGAGCATTTTTGGCAGTAAGTTCTTGTTCCTTCCTCTCAATGTTGAATTTATTCAACTTTTCTTCAAACTCCTATTGGCATGATTTGAGTTCAGGTTTAGCGTTACGTCTTTCCCTAAATGAAGACATTCAAATAGGTAGATAAAGTTCATTTGGTTTCTTCAAGCGCGTTCGTGAAGGATACTTACCCCTGCCAGAAATCGCATTTTCAGCTCTTGACCTCTTTTTGCCTCAAGTTCACTTGGTTTCTTCAAGCGTGTTCGTGAAGGATACTTACCCCTGCCAGAAATCGCATTTTCAGCTCTTGACCTCTTTTTGCCTCAAGTTCACTTGGTTTCTTCAAATATCTCCTAAATCGACTCTCCATTTCATTTTCATGCAAATATGAAAAAAAAAACACATTAAAATCACCAATTTCTAAACTAAAGCAAGCCAAAATAACTACGAAAAGAACCTCAAATGAGTGGAAATCCACCACTCATCAACACCCACAACTTAGAAACTTTGTTTGTCCTCAATTAAAGAAAATCAAAAACACAAGAGGCTCTTTTATTTCAAAACACACCACAAATCAATTTTCCCTTTCTCAATTAAGCACAAAGGTAATGGCTTCGGTTGGTACTAACAAATAGTCCACATGCAAACTTTTCACAAAAGAAATCCTCTCATTCTTGTGAAACATTTTCAAAAACCAAGAATCATTTAAGTGACAACAACTCAAACTCAAGAAATGACTCAACTCATTAACTCTTTCACATGCTCACTTGACTCAATTAGGAATTTTCAAAATCACCACTTTTTCAACTTACATGCCCTCACAAGAAAGAAGTATCCCAAAACCACACACATATAAACAAGACAAGGGACAAAGATGCAACACTCACACTCACAAAGAATCATCTCATGCACACAAGTGTCACACCATAGGCTTGCCCATATTTTCAATCAATACTGACTTACTCCTTTTGGTTAGAAATCTCAAAGGACTTTGTTAAGCTTGTAATGTAGGCTTAGGGAAGGTTAGGCTATCATTTAGGTATAAGTGACTACACCCTCCTTGAACACTACACAACAAATCATTATTTCTAACTTTCTCCACTTTTCTTCACTTTCCAAACCCATGCACATTCCACACTACTTTTCATTTTTCTTTTCTTATTTCCACTTTAGATGCCCCACATGCAACCATTTTCTACTTTCGGAGAATTCAAGCCTCATTTATTCATTTTTCTTTTTTCTTTCCTTCTTTCTTTCTTTTTCAAAGTTTTTACTTTCTTTAAGACTTTCAATTTCTCTCTTCTTCTTTTTTTTACTTTTTTTTTTATATCAAACCCTCATGTGGTAAGCATCCCTTCAATTAATTTCCCATAAGGTCCCAACTTAGGCCTTTAGCCTCAACTTTCACAACCTCAAGTTCAAGGAGGGAAGGGTTCAAAAGAGGAACACCCCCAACTTAGGCCTTTAGCCTCAACTTTCACAACCTCAAGTTCAAGGAGGGAAGGGTTCAAAAGAGGGTTACTTTTTCAAAAGGGATAAGGCTTGTAATGTGGTTGCCAATAAAAAGGAATAGTCTCAAAGGGGACAACTAAGGATATATTTAGTACAAAGGTGGGATTTTTAGGCCAAGTGGACTTCAAGAACATCAAAGAAAGCCTAAGATCATTTCTCCAACCAAACTCAATCAAGACCAACATTTCAAGACCAACCGGGCAAGTTCTAGGTGACAAAAGCAAACACAAGGCATTATTCAACAACTCACAACACATGGCATGCAAATCAATCAAGATGGTTCAAAATCTTACTTCCTTATCAAAATACAAGTAGCATTGAACATTTTAACCGCTAAAGAATCAAAAGTCACAAAAAGAGTTATAAGAGTTGTCACAAAATCATTCATAACATGCTCAACCTTTTAAAAATGGAGAGGTATGTTCAACACTATTCACATGTTTGACTATGCTCTTAGTACCAACCTTGTCAAAACCTTCCCAAATAGATGACAATTTTGCCCTTAAAAAGCTGTCAACCAGCCCATCATCAGGCAACCTCATGCATCTATCCAGCACCAGCTACTCAGACTTTGCCACAATCAAACACTCACAAGCAATCAACGTTTTACCCTTAATAAAGTTGTCACCCTCTATCCATCATTGGGCATCATCAATCCAAATCTTATTATCAAAACAAAAACAAAGAAGCTACAAACTACAAATCAAAAACTAAAATAGATCAATCCAACACAATATCAACAGAAACAACCACAATATCAAATCCCGACAAGGGCACACCAATCCACAACAAAGAAAGAAAAGTACGCCCGACAAGGGCACAATCACTATATGCGGAAACAATCAACAAAATGCCCACAAGGGAGGCACCCCAACTGAAAATGAGATTGTGTTCTCACAGTCAAATATCAAAAGAGAATACAAGGGACTCCCTGAACTACATCACACTGAGCTCGAAAATAACCAATCCAAAAGAACAACAAGACAGACAATATAATTAAAACGAACTATTACCTGTCGTGCAATAGATACCAAGGTTCCAAGTTTCCATGTTATAAATTCCTTTAGACCATCCTCACATATGTGTACAATGTGATAGAGATCAGGAAAAACCTACAGAAAAATAAAAGATACAATCATAAATAAGCATCTCTGATAAAATCATCCACAACTAATGTTTGGGAAAAGAAGGGTATACTAATTACAAGCAATAATATTCACTATGTTCTACTTAAGTTCTCAAATTCCCCGTGTCATTGGCTGGTTGTCCCCTACTTTTATAAGTTGAAAAAAATAAAGATATGAGATATGTTTATTCATCTCAGGTTCTTTTTCTGTCACCTTTGCTCTGTAAAAGGGTGCAAATGGGAGGGTCTGCTGGGTGTGGACAACCAGGTGCACTGTTTGTGACATGCTAAAGAACCACATTTGATGAAACACCGGGGGAAGGATGAACTCACATTTTTAAACATAAACATCCAGCCAAATTGATAAAGTAAGCTATACAATGGAATGCGAGCAACAATTCACGTGTATATCCTCGATAGTGGACTAACCTTATTCAAATAAGGGACACACATCGGGCCCATTGACTATACATGCAAAAGACAGAAGACAAAAACAAATAAGTGTCCCAGGACTACCAGCGTCAAAAGAAGAAACAGGCAAGGCAGGATAATAATATAGGAATCCTGCTTAAGAAACAGTTATAAAACAACGAGAAATGAGGTGCCTAACTGAGTCTTCATACCTTGAAAATAAACAGAAGAGATCCAACCACTTTCTGGTGGTAACTTGACAGAGATGGATCCCTGAGAATCCGCATGAGTGAGTTGATAGCAACCTGCAGCAGTAGATGCCAGTTAGGAAATCCATAAAAGAAAATAATAAGTTGAAGGTTTAAGTCTCACAGTGGAAAAATAATCCTCAGATGTTGCAAAGGATGGCCAGAGATCCATAGGCAATTCATCCATTAATCTTTTATGTTGACCAGGATCACCAGTCACCCCTGTAACTTCACCATGCGATCCAGGTAAGCTTTGCTGATTGCGCTTGTGCACATGGGGATCTAAAGCACCCATGATGCCAAGAACCTGCAAAATCATCTTCAATGAACTTTAAGTACTGACTAATCCAAATAAAATATATATATATATTGGACCAACAGGATTGCAGTTACCTTCAAAACCTCTCTTCTTGTTGACCAAGCCAGTTCACCATTGAGCAGTTTCAAGAGAAACCCAAGCAACTGAGTATACTCATTGTATGGAGTAATGACATATCTATGAACATTACAAACAACAAATTTGTCAAACAAGATTTTGAATAATTAAAAGCTAAATTAGTGCACCGAAGCCATGAATAGTGTGGTGAAGAATACCAGCAAACATGATAAATTTGAAAATACAGATAGCACACCACAGTCCAAAGGAAAGGAAAAGTAAGTATGCCGCACAAACAAAACAATATTAGAAATAATCCCCAAACGTAGATTATCTAGGAACCAAAACAAATAGTAAGTAAATGACTGATTGCAAAGGAATGATCAAATCAAAGGTTGAAGAAACCACTCACCCTGTACTCTGTACAACTTGACCAAGTGTTGAAACAGCCACTTCATATTTGGTAACGGCAGCCCCATCCAGTAGAGTTTCAACAACTAATGGCATAAATTCTGAAATATACTGCCGCATGGCAAAGACTCCCTAAAGAGAGTATAAGAGAGACAAAAAAGGAGAATCAGTGTTCTCAATTATCCACAAGAACTATCTACATGCATAAAGACAACAGTCGATAATCTTGGAACTTATGATGAAAAATCAAAATATCTGATATATTGAGCTGCAAGGATTTAGAGTGACATGAGCTTCCATTGATATTATTTAACCTGCAACATAATTCTTGACTATAAAAAAAAAATAGAGGGCATACACAAGACACCAAGATGCAGATGAAAGATCACAGGGAGAGACCAAACTATAAAGATCAAGAAACACTATATTTGTCTCAATTTGTTTGGCACAGTTTGAATGGATGCGGACACACGGTTCAAAAAGAAGTGGGTATAGATTTTGACACATACATGTCAGGTCATAGGCAAAATGGAGATGTAGAAATTAGCTTGTTTCTAAATATATAGAAGTACCAATTTTTCAAGGAGGTCAAAATTTTGAAAGTGCCAAACAAATAGGGACAAAGGGCATTATCATTTATAGGCATTAATTCCACCCGGGTTATCGATAGACTCAGGTGCAAGTTGACTTAAGCCCCTTGCTGATTTTTCAATTAAAAATGGAGACAATTTGGAGTACAAGTAGCTCCAATGCGACAAGGAACCAGGTCACAGCAAAGAAAAATTGGAAACATCCTATCCACAACAGGCTTAATCCAGCATTAGTCAGTTCCTAGAATTCTTTACTAAGTGAGAGAGGCTGAGAAAATAAAAGGAGAAATGAAGGTGAATTTAACAACAGAGGATCACGTCGTGTCTTCAGAAAAAGTTAATGTTGAGACAAAGTTAAAGCTAACACATATAAGAACTGGAAAAGAACTGTGAAGCAGTTTTTTCCAATTGAAAACTGTAAGGCTGTCTTTTTTATGAAAGAACTGTTAAGCACCTTAAAATAGGAAGTTTTCACTTAATAATCGAGATAGATACCAATAACAAATGAAACTATTACAATAACCAAAATGATAACCTCTGCACACCAACTAGAACAACTAGCTAGCTGAAAAAAATACAATAAAATTAACAGAAATACCAACAAAGTTAAATGCAATAGATGTAAATATTAGCTCACAGTGATAGGGATTATATAAGAAAAGATTAGGATAAATAAGCCCACATTGAGTATAGGATATATCTAAAGAAATATCTGAATTATATCACTACCAAGTGATGATAGAAATGCAGGGAGAAAAATAATCTGGACATCTGCCCCAATAGGAAACACGCCTATCAAAGAGTTGAAGTCAATTTATTTACAAAATCAATTCTGATATAGCCCCCAACCTGTTCGCATCCCTGTCAGAGGAGAACCAATCCTCTTTTTCTACGATAACTTCATTTACAGTATCATTTAAAAGAGCACTTTACTGTATTAAATTTGTAAGGAGCCAAGGAAAGAAACAGTACACAAAAGAAACACACTAAGTATCTCTAGAAAGTGTTGCATTAGAGATTAGGGTGATCATAATTATGAAGAGGCTACATACCACTCTTGCGAGATCTCCAACATTCACTAGGACTCCACTAATAATGCCACTATTTGCATTGACCCCTGTGCCCTCACAGAGTTACTCTCTCTCTTACTTTATACTCCCCTCCCTAAGATGTTTGTCCCACAATATTTAACTAAAGGTAATAAGACCAAACTTTTACCATGCCCCCAAACATAACGATTTAATAGACAAAACTAACAAGGGATTCAAAGAAGCACTCTAGAGATTACAAGTGTTAGAATATATGCAGAACAAGTTTAGCTCTTTCTTAGAAAAGAATGTAAAATGAGACTAGAAGATGATGCAAACAATTGAGATGTCTAAATGAAGATCTAATTCAAACAAGGACTTTAGTTGCTCTATAGTCACTACTTCTACAATGACTTCCAAACAAGGCTTCAGTTAGTTCATATTAACAACGGCTGTAAAATGAATGGCTGGGTTTATAAGACCGGGTACTAGTTTATCCATAAGTTCTTAAGACCGTGGATGTTACACCCTTCCTTTCTCCAAATAAGTAAATAAAATGACCATGAGAAAGTGAATTTTCTTTCGACTTTGGCATTTTAATCTTTTTTTCTATTTTGGGAACTGAACAAGGATCTAGATTGTTTTATCCATGTACTGAGGCATATAAGACTAGCGTCATCTAAGTAGACATTTACAACACATTGAAGAGATACAAAAGCACATGAATTAAGTACCTCAATATAGCTAGTTTCAGCCTGAGACAGAAACTCCTGCATCCGCATAAAGGGAGGAATGCCGAATAGTAACGTCAGCATCAGCAACAAAAGTTTTTGCACAATCTGTAGAAAAGTAATTCAGTTAAAAAAGAATCATAAATCAGCATGTAAAACCCAGAAATAAAAACCTTCATATTTATTCATAGAAGTACCTATCAACCACACCTTACTTGCTAAGTTAGTTTTCTGGAGATTTTGTTTCTGCGACAAAAAATTGAGGAAGGAAAATCAAGAAAAGAACTCTTTATCAACAAAAAAAATCAAGAAAAGAAGGTAAAGATGAATGTTTCAAATAACTCAGAAAATCAAGAAAAAGAACTTTTTATCAACAAAAAAAATCCAGAAACAATTAAAATCTTGACCAGAAACAATTAAGATTCCCTGAACTTCACAATTTTCAACAAAAAAACAATGAAAGAAAGAGACCGAGATGAATTTGGGGGAGGGGAAGAATTTCAAATTCGAACCGAGATGAAATTTCAAAAATCAAAATAATGTTTGGTTCCACCAAATGACTAAAGAACATTCCCTGAACTCCACAATTTTCAACAACAAATAATGAAAGAAATCAAAGATTGGAGATGAATTTGGGGGAGGGGGAAACTCAAATTCAAAATTCGAACCTCTCTTGAAGGGATAAGGTCGGCCAGCTCGAATTAGTACCATTATCAACATGATTTCAACATCTGTCTCGATTCTCCAACGGTCTAGTACGGAGAGGACGCGCGATGGATTCCGGGTTACGATTTGGGTCGCTGGGCTGCATGATTTTTGCGTTTTCATTTCTGGGTTTCCCCGCTCACTGGTTCGTCTGGGTTTGCACTTTACAGGAAGAAGAATGTCTGGGTTTGCACTTTGCAGGAAGAAGAAGAAGAAGAAGGGTTGTATGGTATTGTTGTATTGTATGTTGTACGTTGGGTCTTGTTAAAAATTTGGGTTGGGTATTGGGCTGAGGAGAAGTGGGCTGTTGATTGGAGTTGGGCTGGCCCAAAATTGGTCTTCCTTAAAAATTGGAAGAAAATGGATTATGGGCTGCCCAAAATTGATCCCTTAAAACATAAAATCTACGAGTCTCGGAATGAAAGTTCCACCAGCTTTCAAACAGGACTTTTGGGTTATTAAGACTAATGGCTTGGGACCCAAGGCTTTTGATTTGATTTTGAGTCATTAGACGAGTTAAGATGATCTTGTTTGGGTGTTTTGATGATTTCATTGACTCTGAAATATCATTTCCAAATTAGTAGCATATTTGATTTGTGTTCGGGAGGTTCCGAATGAGGTTTGAGATAGTTTTTAAGCTTTTTGGATGTTTTGGCGTTGTTTCAACAATTTGTGTCAACTAAAAGGTTCGTTATTAATTTTAACGCAAAATTATTCCAGTGCTTCCCAAAGTTTGAGAATGAATTATAGGAATGATCTTTAAAGTTTGGTTCATTTTCGCTAAGCCGAGATTGGATTTTTAGTGTGATTATGAAATAATTGTTTATCGAGCATGAATGATATTTGACTAGGTAAATGAATACGGAATTGAATTCCGATTGGACGAGCAGGTCTGTATCATTATTTAAGACATTTAGGGGGGAAAATTGGGTCATTTCTCTATCGTATGAAGAATTTACGGGGTTTTTAGTGAATAAAAGTTGTTAGTTTTCTAGTGCAACTACTGTTTTCAACTATTTAAAATTTTAGACTGTATTCATTTGGTATTTTTAGCATATTCTGAGTTTTAGAGCTCGAAATGAAGTGATTCTTGAGGTATTCTTTTTTATTTAATATGGGAGTTAGTATCCAATCCTCATTTCAGTATTTTCTCATGATTTCTTCATTTGGTTTTTTTCCTTATCCATGTAATTTTTGGAGAAAACTAGGGTTTTATTGATTTGAACTCGGAGTTTGATGAAAAGTGTATATTTAGGATCCTTTTGTTATGGGTAACTGATTTTGACATAAACTTGTTGATTCATCAATTATTTTCATCATATTAACCGCGTATAAGCTTGAGAATTTGAGTTTTTTTCCAAGTAAAGTTAAAGTTTGATAAATTGAGGATTTTAAGGTCGATTTTAACTTCATTTCTGATGAGATTTCATATTTGAACTTTCCTAAGCATGGGTAAGATCTTTTCAAAAACATTTCAGCTTAGAGTCGGGATTTCGGATTCGAGTATTGAGGGTTTTTCTCATGAACTTGTGTAAGTAAATTAGAGTTTTGAGCAGGATTTCAACTCTTTTTTCAATGAGATTTTAACTATGGAGTTCCAAAACATTTAGATAATGTGATTTTATCCTTCATTTTCAAAAATGGGGTTTTGGGCCAATTTGGGTAATGTGATGTTTGTGAATTGCCTTGTTGTAACCCTTGTAGATTGATTGATGAAATTCTTAATAGTCTAAAAGTGGACTTGAATTGTGTGTGTATATATATATATACTAGATGAAAGTTGTCCGTGCGTGCACGAGCCCAATATATATGATGCGACAAAAGTTAAAAATATTTGCAAGGCATCAATTGGAATATCAGCACATAGTAGTAGTTGAAGATTGTGCTCATAGTAAAAGACTGCTAATATATGTACACACCAACTGAGTTATTGCCCTTGCACCGTCATAGAAGTCGGTGTCACAAAAGGTGAAATAGTAACGCAGTCTGTCACTATGTTGGTGGTAGTCATCTTGATTTTCATAATTACCATTGTAATTTTGTGACAACAAAATATCTGTTGAGGCTTCATGTTGAAGTGGGAGAAATGTTTGGCTGACAGTGTCGTGTACCTTTTAAAATCATTGGAGCTCTCTTCAATCTGGCATTTCAAAAAGATAATGCAAATGAGAGGAATAAATGACAGAGAAAAGAAAATACATATTTATAAACAATAATACCTAAATCTCTGTTGGGGAAAGTAAATAACCTCTCCTAAGAATACACTGGCCTCGATGCTACTAAAATAAAATATATTACACAGAACGCTTACTATATATTGACATACATAAATTACAAGTTTGAATAATCTAAATTGAAAAGAGGACCAAGTAGAAAAGGCTGGAACCATATTATCTTCGATCTATACCGGAAAAATGCTTTTATCCCTCACAACCTCATATTTGCAATAAAAAAAATTAGTCTCATTTTCTATGTACAAGAATCAAATGGTGAAAAAAGTACACATAAGAAATACAAACAACACCACAATCATTTTATTGTGTTAGCGTCGTAGTCAGTATAAATCACAACACACCAAGCACAAAATTTAAAATTTCTATCAAGGATCTCACAAGCTAAACCACATGAGGATATAAATATTATCCCATGAAAAGCCTCAGATGTTCTATGAGGGCTCAATAAATTTTATGCTAAAAAATGTGAATACATTTGTCGAAGATAATTTTAACACTGCATTATGTACATGCAGGTAGTAGTTTGGCATCATTTCATCCAAAAAGTCAGTCAACAACATCTTCATCCTTAGAAGACAATGTAGCGGTCAAACAAATGAAATGGTACCAAGTAGATGAACAGAAAACAACCCTAACAACTAACAATCTAAAATAACATCTTTTTCAGGTTAAAGGTGAAACCGACCTGATGTAATGATAAATTAACTTTCATAGCTATTAATCGATCTTAATAGTGGTTGGAAAATATCTCTTCCTCCTCTCCAAATGCTTGATCGATCGATCATATACCTGGATAAAACCTTGATAGATCTTGTCAGATTGACAAAATATTTCTTTTAATGACACTTGAAAAAATAGAACTTTCAAGATTTCATTGCTTCGTTGAATCACTCGAGTCCTAATTATTTTCGGTGTCATGGTGTGTAGAACAATTAAATATTACGCTTTATTGATCTAAAATAGGATGATATAGTACTTTCAACCAACAAAGTAATTCATGTTGCACTACTTATGCCATCCATGACCCAGTAATACAAAGAATCAAAGAGCTAGTTTTTTTCTTTTTGCGTTCTTGCACATTATTGATCAAAGGCTGGTGAATTGATAGAGTTCAAAATATTCCTTTCTAATGGAACATCAAACACGTTCATAAGATTAAAGGACATTTTGATAAACTTTCCACATCAAATATTTACGACCATAAGATTAATAAAATTTTTGGTACATTCTAATCAGGTATAAGAATAAATCAGGTATATATATATATATATTGTTGTCTCTTTCGTGTGGTGTGATATTATTTGTGTGCATTGATTTGGAACATTGTGATGGGACATGTGATAGTTAATGTTGTCGAGGTCATTTCCGGCAAGTGTTATAAAGCCGAGGTCATTTTCGGCAAGTGATTGATATGAGATGAGGTCATTTCTA